AAAAAAAAAAAAAACAAGACGAAAATAATAAATCTGCATATCGCTCTCTGCATCTTCTATTTGTAGAATAACATTATAAACAAAGTAATAATAACAATAATAATAATAATAAATTGATTTCTAGATACGTTGGACAAAGTAATAAGAAAAGGTGATAGAAAATAAGAGCAAAGCATATGCAAAATACCCATACTTGATCACGCACGAATACCTTTTAAGATGTTAACTTTTCTTTCCTTTCTTTTTTCCTTTATATCTATTTGCTTTTTTTTTTTTTTTTTTAGTATTTTCTTCCACCCGCTTCTACGGTTCATGAGCGTACTGCTTTGCATCATTGTCTCATTTCCTTTAGACTTGTTCAAGCATATCACTCTTCTTCTTCTTCTTCTTTCTACTCTTTGTTGTCCTCACGTGGTAACAACCGCCTTTTTTTTTTATTTCCTTTCTTTCGTTTAAACCCTCTTCCCTTCTTTTCTCTTTTCTTTTTTTTTCTATTTGTTTTATTATCTTTTTTTTATTTTCTTCCAGTCTCTCTTTTTTTGTTTTTTTTTTTCATTCTCACACTTCCCTAATCCACATCATTGGGTGGTGGTGGGGCGTTTGGGTCTTGTTCCCCCTCTTGACCAGCACCAGCGGAATTAGGCTCATGTGGACGCTCCATTGTTCGCTTTACATAATAAGCAGAGAGAATAGGATGTGCGACCTTCTCTATTTCTTTATTCTGCGCATCATACTCTTCCTTTGTGGCCTCTGGATTCTCATCCAACCATGCGGCCGCAGCATTCACCGCAGCCAAAATCTTCTGACGATCTTCAGCACTGATGCCATTCTCCACATCCGGCTCGCTGAGGGTGGCGCGAAGAGAGAAGGTGTAATTCTCCACAGCATTACGGGCCTCAATACGTTCAGCATTAGCGCGATCCTCCGTGGCGAAGCGCTCAGCCTCTTGAACCATCTTTTCAATCTGTTCCTTTGATAAACGACCAGTGTCATTTGTAATCGTGATGGCCTGTTTCTTTCCACCACACTCCTCCTCCGCACTCACAACGAGAATACCATCGCTGTTAACATCGAAGGAAACCGTAATACGGGGCTTTCCACGTGGGGCGGGTGGGATGTCCGTAAGTGTAAAGGTTCCCAGGCACTGACACTGTGAGACAAGTGGACGTTCACCTTCATACACCTTAATCTCCACATTTCGCTGATTATCAGCATTGGTAGAGAATATCTGCGATTTTTGAATAGGCACAGTAGAGTTACGAGGAATAAGAACAGACATAACTCCTCCAGCAGTTTCCACACCAAGAGAAAGAGGTGTTACATCCAGTAACAGAAGTCCTTCAGTCTTTTCAGAACGTCCACCAGAGAGAATATGTGCCTGTACGGCGGCACCATAAGCCACAGCCTCATCAGGATTAATAGAACGATTGGGTTCTTTACCTCCAAAGAAGTTCTGAACAATTTGTTGAATACGTGGAATACGAGTGGATCCACCAACCAACACCACATCGTGAACATCACGTGCTTCCATACCCGAATCCTGCAAAACCTTTTTCACTGGTTCAAGGCAACGCTCAAATTGATCACGACACATTTCTTCAAAACGAGCACGTGTAATCTTTGAGAAGAGATCACATCCATCATATAAGGCATCAATTTCCACAGTAGCATTGGAAGAACTGGAGAGTGTTCGCTTCACACGCTCACATGCCGTTCGCAGACGTCGCACAGCTCGTGCATTTCCACGTACATCTTTTCCAAAACGTGTCTTAAACTCCGTAGCGAAGTAATCCACAAGGCGATTATCAAAATCTTCACCACCCAAGTGGGTATCTCCCGCCGTTGCCTTCACTTCAAAAATACCACCATCAATAGTGAGTAAAGTTACATCAAAGGTACCACCACCAAGATCAAAGATAAGGACCACCTTTTCTCCCTTATCTGTTTTCTTATCCATACCGTAGGCAATGGCAGCAGCTGTTGGCTCATTAATAATACGTAACACATCCAAACCAGCAATAGCACCAGCATCCTTTGTAGCCTGTCGCTGCGAATCATTAAAGTATGCGGGAACTGTCACCACCGCCTTCTTTACGGGTAGACCAATATATGCTTCTGCTATTTCCTTCATTTTTCCCAGAACCATCGCACTGATTTCCTCTGGGAAGAATGTCTTGGTCTCGCCTTGATACTCCACCTGTACCACTGGCTTTCCATCTCGAACTGTAACCTTAAAGGGCCAGTGCTTCATATCAGACTGCAAATCAGGATCATCAAACTTGCGACCAATCATACGTTTCGCATCAAAGACTGTGTTGGTTGGATTCATTGCCACTTGATTCTTTGCGGCATCACCAACAAGACGCTCTGTCTCTGTAAACGCCACATATGAAGGTGTTGTGCGGTTTCCTTGATCATTAGCGATGATCTCCACTTGGTCATTCTTGAAGACACCAACACAAGAATAGGTTGTGCCAAGATCAATACCAATAGCAGGAGCTGTCATTCTCTTTCTCTAACTTTTTTTTTTTTTTTATATGTGTGTGTTTGTGTGCCTGTCGGTGTTTCTTTTTCTTTTCTTTTTTCTTTTCTAGACAAAACCCACTTTTTTTACTGTATAGTGTAATTGTTTTTAGTAAAGTTTTATTTCTGTCCAGGACTGAAAGCAATGTGGAAAAAAAAAATCCCCAGAGTAAACAACAACAACCAAAAAAAAAAAAGAAGGAATGAATGAAGCAGAAAAGAAAATATTAACGAGAGCAACAGAAAATAATTGTAAGCATCAAAGAAAAGGAAAAAAAAAAAAAAAAGGAAAAAAATAAAATAAAAAAGAAAACATGTTTTTTTTTTTTATTTTCTTTCTTTACGTAAAACTAACACATCTGATGACTCTACAAAAGAATTGGCACAACACATAAAGGTACCTTTCGTCGTTGTTGGATTGCCAATGTCATCCAATCGGATGTGAACATCTGAACAAGTTCCACAGATGGCATTCCCTCCTCTTCCTTCTCATTATCTTTCTCATTATTATTATTATGTATGTTGAGATTCTCTTGCAAGTCTGCAGATGTCGGTGAAAACGTTACGTGCGGAATAGAACGCCTTCGAATATCATCAAGTGGTGGTCGCATCTCTGCAATACTGCGTAACCTATCTCTGCTTTGTATCCCATTACTCGGATTTCCAAATCCCCACTGTTGTTGTTGTTGTTGTTTTTTGTAGTTTCTCTTTTCCAATGCATGTTGTCTAGCCTCTGTGAATTGACTTTGTGCATGCCGGAACACTTCCACCATTGAATGTATTTCCCCCTTCGTTGTATTATTTCCTTGTACGAAACCATCTAATAATATCAATAACTCCTTCCCATGTAATAAAGCTGATTTTTTTCTTGTAGCATTTGATAATAAATCCCACTTTTCATCACTACAATCATTTTCTTTACCTCGAATTAACATGGTAATAAATTCAAGCAATGCCTCAGGGGAGGATATATGAATTCCCATTCCTCCTTCTTCAGATCCAAGTGTTGTGGTGACTCTTGTTGTTTTCAAACTAACTTGTGAAGAGTTCGAATCCATTTCCTTATAGCTTACATGGATCACAAAACCACCTCCAGTTTCAAGAACATTTCGCATAGATCGCATACGAGAGAGACTCACTGTGGTATCAGGTGAGACAAGTACAAAACATTTATGATCAAATAAACGAGTTCCCGTCGCCTGTCGTTGTTGTCGACGACTACGGCATTGTTTAGAGAGTTGTAAACTACTACGAGGTGCCCCAGGCGGTAAAAGTTCTGGACACCACTCATACACAGAAAGATCACGAAATGGAAGAAATGACTGACGTATTTCACAATCCTGAAGAAGTTTGGGAGTCACTACCCACAAACCAGCGGCAATAGCAGCAAGAACACTTTCTCGTTGTGTTAATTGATGTGTTACCAGCACATCGGCATCTTGAACAGATCGTTCAATAACTTGAACACGAGTGATAACACCTGCCATATCTACTTGGTGATAAAAAAGTTGTTGTTGTTGCCAGAACGTTCCATGATAACCGTCTGTACTATTCATACTATTCTCAACCTCACTGCATACAGAGTCACTGAGTCTTCTACAGGAAGTTACCAACTTATCTCTTTCTGGTACATCATGAAGGATATGAATACGCACAGCACCACTACTACCACTACCAGTACCAGTACCACCATAGTTATTGATATGTGAAGAAGAAGAAGAAGAAACTTCTGCACCCATTTGTACAGCAACAGATGATGGGGATCGTAACGGACGAATACTATTACTATTCGCATCAGGGTCCCATTGTTGTGCCATTTCAAGAGCTGTTACAGAGCTTCTACCACCTAAACTAAGGCAGCTAAACCGTGTACATGATGCCCTACCATTATCACTATCATCATCATTGAGACACATACTATTATTATTACCGACTGTGGTACTATCCCTGATATTTTCATTAATATTAAGAGGCTTTTTATTAGAGTATACATACTCGCCATCGTCATTATCATCATCATCACCAAGTACGCGTGGTCCCCGAATAGGGGTGCAAGCGTGTCCATTGTTATCCACATCTTGACTAACATGTGGTACACTTTCCCTCTTTTGCGGTTCTTCACTATCCGATTTCCTTGGGGATTCCAATACATGAATGGGTGCTGCCTCTTGTACGAGAACCACAGCGGGTGAGAGAACACGAGGAACACCTACACGTTGTTTCTGTGGTGTACGTAGTGTCGATCGTGGACAACTTTGCCGTGAGGCACTAATACGACTACTATTCAACACATCCTGCTGTAGATGTGGACGACCTGGAGTTGCATTAGGAGTTGTAAAATCAAACTGATAACCAGAACCAGTCATCTTACTTGATGGTGAGACTCCCTCAACCATTGATGTTACGGTTGCCACTTTTGTGGAACTTTCAAAAGGTAAAAGTGTGACATCTGTAGTTCCAACACGTCGTCGTTGTGGTGTAGCAGGTGGTGTAATAGTGGAGAAGGCTACTGTTGGACGTCCCGCATCGCATGGATGATCTCCTTGATATTCTTCTTCTTCTTCCTGCTGTTGTTGTTGTTGTTGTTGTTGTTGTTTTTCTTCTGTATAATCATTAGATATTATCGGAAGTGTGAATGGAGTTTCATCTAGAAATACACCCCACGCCACACTCGCGTGGAGCCATTCCATACCCACAAGTGATACCCGCCCTGTTTTGGCAAGTCTCATAAGATCATACCTTAATGTATTTTGTATTCTTTCTGGCCAAACAGCATTTCGTGTGAGAAGTCCTTCACGTTCTTCCATTTCTTCTACTTTTAACCATGGAAGAATCTCTGAAGTTTCTGTTATGGTCCCAGATGCCATGATAGAGGCAATATCCATAATTACTACATGTGTAACCGCCTCCTGTAAAAACACCTCCGCCGTATGTCCACCCAATTCACTTACGGCTGCTGTCAAACAACTTAAAAGGACTCGACGTAATGCTGTGGTAGCCGTACACACTTCATCTTCCATTATACAGTGAAAATACACAGAAACGCCTACCAATGGTGCCTTTTCATGTCGTCTTTGACCAAGCCAAGGTGAGATAGTGAGTGGTTTTCCCGCTTCACTACGTAATCGTCGCCGTGCAAGTCGTTCATTCTCTGTTGGAATTGGTTGATAAAAAATAAAACAACTATTCGGGTGTAATATGCGTTGTGCCGCTAAACAACAAAGCACATAGTCTTGTGTAACTGCTGGAAGATAACGCAATGGATGCCACTGTGAACCCCCACTTTTTCTACCATCACTACGAAGAAGAATATCCGAAGGGCGTTGATCCCCATGCGGTACAACATACATAGCGATAACAGCTCCAGATGCTTCTGGTAATGATGGTGAAAGTTTTCGACTCTGTCGAATGTCAGATTGTATAGAATGATGTGTGGAAGCCGCATCTCCATCGGTTTGGGCGCGGCATAGTCGCTTGTGAAATACACTGCGTCGGCGGACAAAGGATAAGAGTTCACGTTCTTCTTGTTGTTTCTGTTGACTTTCTTCCATTGTTGTTGTTGTTGTTGTTGTTGCTTCTATTGTAGCTCCAGTTCGTGTTAGGGCCTTGGTCCACTCCTCTCGAGTCTTTTTTATCCAGATTCCTTTACCGTGTTTGATAAGAGCCCGTACAACTGCTAATTCAATACGTGAGAAGTCATTCTCCAGAAAACAAAAGAGAGAAGAAATGAGTGGGGGTAACGAATCTTCATAAGGGTTTGATGATGTACCCAATAACTCAAGGAGATCCTTAACTCGACGGTCTGCTAGATGGAGTTCAGCATTATACTGCTTTTCTGCATCACTAAGAGTATCTCGTACAGCAACTTCAAGTCGGGATTTTTTACTGTTTTGTTGTAAAGAATCCGTAGCTGCTGCCTTTTTCTTTCTCAGTCGAGGTAAAGACATTTCTGATTGTTGTTTTTTCCCTTCCTCTTGTTGTTGTTGTTGTTGTTGTTGTTGAGGTACATCAAAGAGTGATACCGTGGATGAGATACGTATATTAAACCCTTCAGTTGGAGGAACTTTGTTTAGTGGGAGTGGTAAAGGAACGAAGGACGAACTTCTAGTCTCACCAGTTGAAGTCATTATAGTAGTATTCACATTATGTAAATCATGCAGAAGCATCATCATCTGTTGATAACAGGACTGCAGCCATGCAACTGTCACTATACGTTCAACAGGTATACCATAACTAGCACAAAGATGATCACGTAGTTGAGATAAAACTTGTCCTTGTTGTTGATATTCCTGCTGCTGCTGCTGCTGTTGTTGTTGTTGTTGTTGATTTCTATTCTTTACACTATCAGTATTATTTCCTTTATTCATACCCTCTGGAGATAGCTGAAGTAATTCACTTCCCACTATAATAACATCTGTGAGAGGGGTTACAATAGAAGTGCGTAGAAAGCGACAAGTTATCACCATGCGGATGCAATCCACTAACTCACGTGCACTACATCCTAATAGTGCTACTTGTAGAAAAGGACGACTTTGTGAGAAGAAGAAATTATTTTCATCCCCTTCAACACTGTTGCTATTATTATGTATATTATTATTATTATTATTTTCATTGCCTAAAATAGTATTAGTAGAGGGATGACACGATAGATTCACTGTTGTCATCCTTTTCTCTTCCTGCAATGAACCACCGATTGTGTTTGTATTCTGGTGATCACAATGAGTATCCTGCAATGTGCCGGTCTCATGCTTCACTACCACCAAATCATTCTTTACTTCATCCACCTTCACATGGGTCTGTTTAGTAGTATCATTAACATTATTATTATTATTATGTTTACCATCACTTTCATCATTATTATCATAATCACTATTGTCTACAAATACCATTGTCCTTCTTCCTTGTGGTGATTTTTCTGTCTCTTCTGCTGCTACTGTTGTTGCTGTTGTTATTATTGCTGGTGGTGGTGCACTATCTCGCTGTGTGTGAGGTACAGCTCCACCAACAACGGATATTGGTAATGCACAGAGTTGAGCAATTGTATCAAAATCAGTTCTCGAAGGGGCTTTCGTGCTTTTTCCATTTATCTCATTATTATTGTTATTATTATTATCATCTATGACACTGACACTACTACCTAATGCCGCCATTGTAAGAAAACGAGTGTACTCCACAATGGGAATATCTGTAGCCCACGCAAATCTTATCTTTTCAGGAAGAGCAGGTGACGCTACAGAACTTCCTTGTGGTCCTGTAGAGAAACGACCAGAAAGGCGTTGTTGTTGTTGTTGCCATTGTTTAAACCATCCAGGCGGTACAAATAACATCGATGTACGTGCCGTAAGTGTGCGATCAAAATCCCCTCCATGACGTTCAATAATAGAAATAAGAGCCTTTTCTTCATCTGTGGTCATTTGGGTTCCACAGAATATATATCCGGCTAAGGGCAACAGTTTCGCATCTGCAAAGGCCAATCTCCCGTGGGATTCAAGCCAACGAGTAGAGACAACAGGAATACGGTGTTGTTCAGCCACGAGACGTTTTCGTGTGAGTCCTTGACCGGCAACGAGAACAGTCGTCCGTCGGGTGATGTGCGTTTGCACAACAGCGCCAAGGGATTCCGCAAAGGCTCGAATTCTACGCAGAGACCACGAGATATGATTTCCTCCTCCTCCTCCTTGTATAGATATGGGATGCTTGTTGTTGTTATCATCAACATGCTGGTCGTCATCTTCCTCCTCATCGTAAAAACCAGTAAAACAAATGTGATAACCGGAAAGGGTCATTTTTTCTTTTTTTTTTTTTTTTTATTTTCTCTCTTTCTCTCTCTCTCTCTCTCTCTATCGTATAGTTAATAGAAATCGCTGTTATTGATGTCGCCACTGCTGCTCTTGTTGTTGTTGATATCAGTAAAAGGACGGAGATCTCACCAACTCACACACTCACAGGTCTAGACGCAAATCTATAGATAAATAATGTATAAATACAATTACAAGAAAATACGTATATCTGCAGGAACTCTATTGTCCCCTCTTTTTTGTTTTCATATGGGAGGAAACAAATTTATGTTTTTTTCTTTCTACGAGAAAAACAAAGAGGAGCTCCAAGAAATATAAAAAGAAGAAAAAGTGAAAAGGATGAAAAGAAAAGCTGAACAATGATGAAAAATAAAAAAATATGACATACATGTATATAAAGGAAAAGGAGTGTTGGGAAAAACAGGTTCATTGAAGGTAATACCAGAGTCATCAGCAAGGAACTCGAAATAAAAAACAAAAAAAAAAAGAAAGAGAGAGAGCGAAATATCAATATACCGTGAGACGATCTAAGAAAAAAAAGGTCAAGATACAAGCGCTCAATACCATAACTTCTACATATGAACATATAAATAAATAAATAAATAAATAAATAAATAAATAAATAAATAAATATATATATATACTTTATTCTACATTTTTTTGTTTGGATTTTTTGCACACTTTTCCACCTTTTCGTTGCACCATTAAATCTATCTATCAGCTCCTAGTGGGATGTAAATTGCAGTCTCTTCATCATCATCACGGTCCACATCACTTTGTTCTTGTTGTACATATCCTTGAGCTCTTGAACGTTGCACTTGTGTTGGTGGTGGTGATTGTAATCCATTTTCATTCTGAATTCTCTCGTGAGCCACTGTGTGGATATTATCATTATCATCATCGTTTTCGCTGGTTTCAGAGCTTGTTGGCTCATCGTCATCATTGTATTCATTGGTTACAAATATTTGCCCACGCTCCCTTATTTCCCCAGACATTGACATTGCTTCTCTTGTATCTGTTGTGACTCCATCCGTCTGGGTTCGTACACTCGTACTGCTGTTGTCGTTGTTACCAGTATAACTTAAATTATTATTATTATTATTATTATTATTACTATTATTATTATTATTATTATTATTATTACGACTGTTCATATTGTGATTATTGTAAAAAATATTCTCACCACTGCCGCTGCTGCCATCACTGAGATAACGTGATCGTCGCACCATCGCGCGAAAGTCCTCCAGTCGCCGCAGGTGTTCACTCTCCGCCTCTCGCCGCATTTGCATTCGCTCCACCCGCTCCGCCTCCTCGCCGCCCTGCGCCCACGCCGTCACCAGTCGGCGCTCGGCCGCAAACACCGGGCGGTCGTCCAAATGCATGAGTTCCGCACAGCGGGCGAGTACAGTCTTGCGGTATCTCGGCAGTGTGCGCACGAGCGGATTGCCGGAGAGCCGCAGCGAGCGGAGACGCGGGAGTCGCTCCAACACCATCAGCACCGCCTCGCCATCATCGAGTTGGTTGTGGCTGAGATCCAACACGGCGAGGTTGTGGCAGCAGAGCAGCGCCAGCAGATCAGACGCAAAGCGAAGGCGATTACCACTGAGATTAACAGTACGCAGAGAACTGCAGGGATTGCGGTGTTTCTCCGGCACATCATCAGAGATCTTTCCATCTTCCGCGACATTAAGTGGTGTGTGTGGGCAGAACTGTGTATAGGCAATAACGCGATTACGCCAAACATCCAATGCCTCCTGGCGTGAAGGAGCCTCTGTAGTGCTGTTGTTATTAGAGGTAGGAGTAAGAGTAATAGCAGTAGGGTCATCATTGATTGGAACAGGCGTAGTGGAATGAAGTGGAGGAGATGATGAACTCCATGAACCACACTCTGTTAAGTTCCTCGGTTTAAACAAATCTTTGTTTTCTCCATGTTCCTTCTCTTCCCATATTGTTTGTTGTTGGTGTTGTTGGTGTTGGTGTTCTTGTAAACTTTCATCCTGTTCTTGATGTGGTTGATGTTGTACTTCTCGTTCTTGATGTTCTTCTTCTTGTCGGCTTTTCTCACTCAGAATCTTCTCTTCTTCAACTCCTCTGGAACGGAGTTCATTCTGCATACTCTTAGAGTTCGCTAAGAGTTTTTTGGCTTTTTCATGCCGTGATTCCTCATACTGTGCGGCCTTCATGTTAAACTCAGCACAGTGTGCTCGTACAGACTGTATAAAGTTGTTGGAAAGATTCACAGAATCAAGTCGTTGAAAACCACTTAAGTCTGGCATCTCACGCAGAAGATTGTTATGAAGGTACAACTGTCGAAGTGTGGGGTAAAGTGAATTAAATACATCCTTCACAATTTCTGATCCTTTACGTGATGATTTGCTGGATACTTCAGCCTCTTTATCCGTCCGTTCTTCATTGACATTATCATTATTATTATTATTATTATTATTATTATTATTATTATTAGTAGTAGTAGTAGTAGTAGTAGTAGCAGCGGCAAGAGCTGCAGCAAGAGCATCATCAACATTTGGACCTCTATCCTCTTTAACTTGACGAATAGGCGCTTTTTTCCAATCCCCATAACAATCTACATATGCACTCTTTGATATTCCACTTGTTGAGATACTCTTTCCTTCATTTACTTCAACCACCTCTGTTTCTTCTCCTTTTCCTTCTGTGGGTTTAACTGTAATACGTCGGCTATCTTTTCCACAAGCTATGTGACTGAGTGCGTTGCTTTCCAGCCACAACACTCTCACATCTGTGTATGGTGTAAAGGCGTCATCATCAATACCTTCAAAGCCTTTACGGTGTAGATACAACTTATCATTACAAACAGGATTGCGGTAATACCCGAGTTGCACACATATTTTTTTGATCACATCCGTTGTGATGATTGTAGGTGGCGATGTTGTTCCTTCCATCTGTGCAGGAGTCTCTCTCTCTTTCTCTCTCTGTGTGTGTGTGTGTGTTTGTGTTTGAGTTTGAGTTGTGTTTACGCTAATGTGATAGCTCGCCTTTTATTATTATTATTATTGGGAGGATACAAACAAAATAAAAAGAATACAAAAATGAAAACAAAATAACGAAGCGAACAATAACAAGAACCAGTAGCAACATAGTCAATAATAACAATAATAATAATAATAATAATAATAATAATAATAATAATAATAAAACTTAAATGATGATACACGTTATAAAGGAGAAGAATCCCTTCTCTTTCTTTCTCTTTCTCTTTCTCTTTCTTATCCACACAGAGAGACAGACTGCTTCTCACCCTGTATATATATACAGTACCCCAAAAAAGAGAAAATACTTTTGTAAAATCAGAATATTACTTTTTTTTCTTTTTTTTTCTCCCTCAGTAGTTCTGTTTCTTTCTTTCCTAGAAAGAACAGTCACTTCTTTCTGCCATCGCTGCTAAATAATGTGAATAAAAGAATTAAAAAAAAAATCCTCTGCCAGAAACAACAATATCAATATCAATATCAATAATAATAATAATAATAATAATAATAATAATAATAATAATAATAATAATAATAATAATAATAATATGATAAACAGAAGCTATAAGGGATATTTCATCGTCATATGTTTAATGAATGCATCTCTTTAGCCTTCTTCTCATCCTCTTCTCTCTCTTCTCACTCTTGTATATATATATGTATTCCCATTACGTTATTTTAATTACTTTCTTTTTGTTTCTGTTGCTGATGTTGATATTCCCGTAAGGAATTCATAAGTGTATCCATTGTCTGCTTATTCGCACCCTTGTAGGGTTGTCCATACGCCACAAATGTCTCTGCTAATACCCGCAACGCCTCCCGACGTTCCTGTCGCTTCTGTTGATCCATTTCTGGATCCAGCAATATTGCCGTCGCTACACACCGGGCTGTAGACTCCAATTCCTCTACAGAGACATACCACGCCAAATCCACCATCGCCGCAGAATCTTTAAATGTATGTTGACGTACACGACTTAAACAACGCCATTTATCCAATCGTCTTTGTAGACGATGAGGAGCGGTCTCTTGTAGGAATAGTAATAATCGCTGCATGGATCCAGTCGTTTCACTGTATTTCACCACCCGCAGGTATTCTTTTCCCACCGCGTATAATACCTCCTTTGCGAGACCCGTATTTAACAACCGACGTAATCGATCTTTCAACTTTTGAACTTCAGCTCCATTATTATTACTATTATTATTATTATTACTACTAACACTACTATCACCCTGTTGTTGTTGTTGTTGTTGTTCTAATGGTTGTAAATAAGAGGTGATTAAAACATCACGACAACGTTCAATCATGCGTTGACGACAAATGGCAAGTTCCTCCTGTGTCCAATCAAGTCCATCCAGCACCCGTTGAGAGAAGCTGCCGGTGCGTACATCTCCCACGATACGATGAAGTTCATCTCCACCAAATAACGCACGTAAAGCCTCTCGCTTCTTTGCCCCAACATCATCTACACCACTTTTTCCACCAATATCATATTTACGCCGTTTCTCCGCATTACTAAGCACACGATAGGCTTTCGTTACGGCATCGAATTGAGCCGCTGCAGTGCGATTGGGATTTTTGTCGGGATGTACTTCCAACACGAGACGATTATACGCCTCTCGAATCTCACGAGGAGTGGCATCACGGGCTACACCTAAAACAGCATAGTAATCACTCTCATTTTCTGTATATCTACCACTATTATTATTATTATTCCTTGCACGTTCATATGTAACTGGACGTTTCTTTTCACCCCGTTGTTGTCGTCTGGACTCCCGTCGCATGGCACGTTCTCGGAGTTTCTCCTCTGATGGCTCTAATGCGAGGAGTGGATGAGAGTGTCCAACAACACCAGAGGGATATTCATAGCGACAAGCAAACTCATTCCAGCAGTAACCACTTCGGCATAAATACACCACTGGGGCTTCTAATTGATAGAAGAAACATAATAATAACTGCTGGGCTGCGGCATACCATGCAATGACGAAAAAAACAGCTCCCCATGTGAGTCCCACTGCTGGTGCGAGAATAAATGTATGAGGACGTAAACCGCCTAATCGTACCGCTTCTAATGAAACAGAAAGTGCCAGAATCGGAGAGAGAAAAAAGGAGAGAACAACATTAAGCATGGAACCAGCAATTCCTCTGGAGATTTGGCGTGTTGGGCGTGTGGAGAGAACCACTCTCGCCTCATCACCGTCGTCCTCTCGTCGTCTTCGTAGATATTCCATTTCCTCTTCTGTCATGAGTGTAAAGGTACCACGATTCTTTTCAGGTTGAATAAGAAGACGACCAAACCAGGAAACTTTATTGGAGTTGGGGCTATTCATAGATGTAGTGGGGCGTCCTAACGGAATGAGTGCGAGTGAACATCCGAGTGGACTGTGTTGCATCACCGCAGTGAGCTGCTGGAGAATAAGTCTACGCGCCGTTAATCCACTAGCCATCACTCCCCTAAACACTTTCCTCTTATCAGATATATGTATATATATATGTATGTACTCTTTTTTCCTTCTTTTCCGCTTTACTCCAAGTAATTAAGTGCACGGAGTCAGACCAATTTCCCTTTATGATAGAAAAAGAAAAAAAGAAAGAAAAGAAAAAAAAAAACATAAATAATACAATTAAATAGAATAAAAGAAAATATATCCCAGGAAAACATTTGGATTTTCCAAATATACTTCTCATATATTCTCCTTCTATCAATGTATAATGTAATAACATCCCAGAAATATATATATATATATATATATATATATATATATAAAACAACTGCATTTCTGTGTTTTATATCTCTTTATCAGAATGTACAGATCTACACAAGGTCTAACAAGAAAAGAAAAAAAGGTGTATAAAAGTACATTTCCGTGTTTCTTTTTTTTTACTATCATCTTATAACGGTGCAATATGGGAAAAACTGTTTTTGCAAACGCTAAAAATAAAAATAATAATAAAGGTATATTTCCCTTCTATCACTCTAATAATAATCCTCTTTATTTTTTTCTCTTTTTACCCAGACTCTATTTTCTTTCTATTTTATTTTTTTCTTTCTAGGTTTCTATTTCTTTTTTTTAAAAAAAAAGAAAATCTATATATTCCCATATTATGTGAATATGACCTCTAAAAAAAACGTGCATGAGCGGCTTTCTCTTTTGCCAACCGAACCTGAACATCTAACGCAAATTGCACAGCACCAAATAAATCTTCATGCAAGTGTGGTAGACGTAATAATTGAAAATTAGGCACCACACATTCTTCATTCATTTCTTCTAACTCCTCTCGTTGTTTTTGTTGTTTTCGTTTTTGTTTTTGTTGTTGAGATTCATCTCTTGGTATTCCATGTGGGGTATTATCATGAATAGCGGCAAGTGTAGACTCCGCAACCGTAACGGCTCTATACGGTGGGAATCGTCGTTGTAGAGATTCAATATCTGTTGTTGTATTGAATGTGGTTCTTCTTTTTCTTCTTGTTATTCCATCTACGGCTGCGGAGTCTGCTAAAGGATCACTTGTCATCTTTAGTAATTCCAATTCAAATGAACTCCGTCGTTCTTTCTTTTTATCTTGCGTTAATATACTAACGTTATTCTTCTTTGTATTATTTGCGGCGCGAAACTCATGCTGTCGAAGTGCAAACACTTTATACCGTAATCCTTCGAGATCCATCGGTTCTGGTAATGGACCACTCATCTCTGAAGCCTCTGCACTCATTAAGAAGACTACTGCGATATCCCCATAGTTATGTTTTCCAGCTCCAGAATTTAAAATATTAAACCGTTGTTGAGCTGTTATCCCTTCAGAAGAAGTGGAAGAAGTATCAAATTCACGAAGGAGTCGACTTACCGCATTACTCTTAGAAGCCAATACGGCTGTATTATCAAGACCAACTCCTTTATTTTCATCCATTGGCTTTAGGGATTGTTGTAAGGGTGGAAGGACGTGGACAATCTCTCTTCGTCCAAAACGTTCCACTACAGATTTTTCTGCTAAAACAGATCGTAAAACAACAACACGTTCTTCTTTATTTTCTCCATAGGAACTAAAGTTGTTAGTCCAACTTTCTGAAGCAAAAATAGAAGCCGCTAAAGAAATTGAATGATCAGCTTGTGTACTTTTTCTTTTTCCTCCTCTTTCTCTTTCTCCTTTTCCTTCTTCTTCTGTAGAAGATGAAAACGTTAATTCTATACAATGTTCTTTTCCTGTTACTGTACTATTTACAGTAAGTGGGGTAATACGTAATAATGTTGGAAATCCACCTAATGTGCGAAGATATAATATAGCCGTATATAATAATTTTGCTGCATGCGAAAGTTCAACAAACTGTACATGCTGTAGCATTGTCTGAGTGGAAGACTCATGAATTCCACCTCCACTAAACATTGTAATCCAACGACTATCTTTTCGTGGGCGTGAACTCCCTAGTACTGGTATACGTGCACTAGAGCCTTTGGATGTAAGAAATTCACTATCTAACAAAAGTTGAGGTTCACGGAGAAGTGCAGATCGGGCTGCAAATGAATTGGGAGGTTTATGTACTTCTTGAGATTCTATAATATCTTCCATACGAGTAGTAGAATAAATAGTAGGATGCGTACCAGTATGAACCTGTTGTAAATTTTGAAACATACTTTGATAATCATCATCTATACCACAAGGACGACGATATGGTAATTCATCAGGAGTCTCTGTAATCATAGATGATTCTTTTTTCTTTGTTAATCCTGCTTCTTGTAGAGGTCGCATCCAGTCTGTTCCTTCTTTATCAGTACTTTCATGATGACTTCCTAAATACCATATATCACGTTGTCCTGTTATTTTTTCTTTTTTATCTTCTTTTACTACAGTATTATCGGGTAATAGTACATTAGATGGAGGTTCTATCCATGCATTTACGGAACGAATTTTGGGTCCTTTACTTGTTCCCATGGATACAGGAAAACTATAATCCTCCATTGGACGTGTTAAAGAGTGTGAAGGGAAATCTTCACCTTGTGTATCATGTAGTATTAGCATAGGATTAAGAGAAGATTGTAAAATATCTACTGATAAATGTGAGGGAAATGGGGAAGGACTAATAGCAACTCCATTTTCAAAGGTAGCTACATCTTCTGTATAGAATTTTTTGATTGTCTTGGGTGGGAGAGGCTTTAGTACGGGTACGGTCTTTCCTCTTAATTTCACCTCTTTCCCTTTCTTCATACCAGACAATGGACACCAAGGATCATCATCATCAATTGATATACTCTCAATAAAGCTTTTCTTTCTTAGCAGTTTATTTGAGCTTTCTTTCTTTTGAAGACTACCCCCTATTGCTCCAGATGATGGGAACCGTCTCTTTTCAGAAACAGATCCCAGTGATCCCATGGATTCTCCTCTCATTGATCTTACTGTTTTAACAGTCGTACCTTGCGAGAGACTACGATTTTCTTGCTGCTTCTGTTGTTTCTGTTGTTCTTGTTGTTGTTTTTGTCGTTGTGAATTCTTTAAAGAAATGGGTACAGGTTGAGATTCAGTGGGATTTATAATCAGACGACGACCCCGAACTGAATCAATACCAACCCCTTGAGATGAAGCTGATGGTAATGGACTCTTCCCATATACATTATTCCCCTTTCGTATGGAAGAAATTCCTCCTCGATGACCTCCTTTTCTACCCATAGACATTACACCTGTGTCTCCCCTTCTCTTATTCACATTCGATTTACTCATAATCGGTTTAACAGGCGCAGCACCAAGAGAAAAGGTAATATTAGCGGCTGTGGTATTTGAAATCTCAGCGTCACTTTCCCTGCCCACTTTGAGACCCAATCGCACCAGCAATGCATCTTCACCTCCACTGGGGATACTCTGTTGTTGACTCACGAGATCATCGAGAATATTGCTGAATCTTCCGCCCCGCACTTCTTCATCATCGTCAAGGAAGATGCTGACAGAACTGGAGCGGCGACGCCTACCGGTATAGTTATTCCCAAAATCAGATGAATTTCCCTGCAAGAAAAGCCCTGGACCTCGAGAGAGCATGAGAGCGCCTTGTGTGTGTGTGTGTGTGTGT